CCAGCTACCCTGCAGAGGAAACTCATTTACTCATTTTACATTTCAATTTTGTCCTTTATGCCAGATTCTGGTTCCAGTTTATACATGAGAGCAGGTCACACACCTGATAGTCAAGCCCCAAACAAAGTAGATGTGGGTAATGATGTGATTTGCACAGAAACATGTCCTCCCCCTGACTCTTATATTTCTACTGCTCAGCAGACTCTGAAACCTGATCAGTGTTGATGAAAGCAGAGAACATGAGAGCTTGGAATGTGATGAAAGGAACCAGAGAAAGTGAGATAGATGAAATGTAAAAATGTCCTGTTGTTTTGAGGTCATGGCGGGAGCTCCCAAGACCACCCCCTCCCATCCTTCTCCTCCACATGTGAAAGCTTTCTTCTCTTTCCGCTCTGCACCCAGGAGTGGATCCAGTATCCTGTGAGAACTGAAAGCCCACTGAGCTGATCTCCACCTGCCTCTCTGGTCAACTCCCTCTCATCCAGCTGTGCCAGCTTCTCTAAAACAGCACAGCCAAATTCTTCTAATGCTTCTTCTCTTTCAAACTTAAATACTTAAATGAACAAAACATTTTTTCAAAAGTAACTTTCTTAGTATAACCCTGACCTAAAAAGACTTTTGAAAAACACTGTACATTTACAACTAATTAATGTTGGAGGTTAACCTAATACAAGATGGCTGCCACAGCCAACTGAATTCATCCATCCATCCATTATCTTTACCCGCTTATTCCATATTGGGTCACGGGGGTCGTTGGTGCCCATGTCCAGCAATCACTGTGCGAGGGGCGGAGTACACCCTGGACGGGTCGCAAACCCATCACAGGGCCACATAGAGACAAACGAGACAAACAACCATTCACTCCCTCACTCACACCTAGGGACAATTTAGAGTTACCAATCAGCCTAACCTGCATGTTTCTGGTCTGTGGGAGGAAACCGGAGCACCCGGAGAAAACCCACGCATGCACGGAGAGAACATGCAAACTCCACCCAGAAAGGCCCCTGGACCGGGGTTTGAACCAAGGACCTGCTCGCTGAGAGGCAGCAGCTCTACCAGTTGCGCCAGCGTTATGCCCCCAACTGAATTCAAAAACACAAAAATATCTGAAACTCAATCAACTTTACAGCTGTTGAACTGAACTCTGGTGTGGTAGCTGAGAGTTGTCCACAACTTGTACTCCAACTGTAACCTGGTAGAGAAAACAGCACTTCCTCTCATTCTCTCCTTTATTTTAATTGATACATGAATTTTACTTTGAAAATGTTTATTTTGAAAAGAGGAAGCATTAATCCTCCCTTTGAATTTACTTCCTGGTAACAAATAAGCTCCGCCCATACTAGTGTGCAGAGAACTTTGTGGTAGTTTAGCGGTCTTTGATCAGAGGAAAAAAATGCTACATTGAAAAACAGCAGAGAGGTGGTGTAATGATTTCCTACTGTGCTAGACTTGAACAGCGTCTTGGCTACGTTTTGTTTGCTGGTTCAGAAAACCTCCAAATAGACATTAGGAATTCTCTCCTGAAGGAGATGGCGAGCCAGAGCCAGAAACTTGATCAAAGCCTTCTTTCAACATCCTCGAACCCACACTGTGGTAACCACTCAACTACCACCAGAAACTGAAACATTAACCGACCGAAAGAACTGAAAGACACAATAAAGACCAGGGCTTAATTTGTAAACAAATTGATGCCGGAACGCAGCAGGCAGACGGGCGGGGTGGGGGTGGGGGTGGGGGTGTTTCTTGGGGTCCTCCCCCAGAAAATTATGAATAAAGTAGATGCAATTTCCTGCATTTTGGTGTATTTTAACAGGCTGATTAACATCTAAGTTTACCTACATTTGTAAACACTCTGCTTCTGTCAAGTACCCCCCGATGGAATTATCAAGTCAGTCAGGCTCGCAACCGAACCCGACTCTGTTCCTGCTCGTTGTTATCCGACTCCATGTGAAACCTCCAGCTGCCTGTGAGCTCCTACCTGCGTACGACTGCCTGCTTAGCTTGGCTCTCAACCCCATCTTCTTTAAGGGGTGCAGATTTTTTAAAGGTAGATGTGGAAATGCTAAGAGGCGATCGTATGCTTGTAAGTGGCTGTGTTGTGTTTGAAATGAGTGTTTATGTAATTATTTTCAGTTTACATACACAAGTTTTATTTGTTCAAGGCAGTCATATTTGTTCATAACTTTATTAATAGTAAGTCTGAGAGTTACCGGATCCAAGCCATATCCAGTCAATTACCGGAAACACCCTGTCAAAATAAGAGAGTTCCTGGATCCTGTTCTGGCAGGATCCAGCTCAAATTAAGCTCTGCTAAAATCTAAAGACTACAAACTATTGAACTCGTACTGAATGAAGGGATTTGGGGTACTAGACTAAATATAGACTTTAGAGTTGACGACTTGTTAAGTTGTAAACTTCCATCCATCCATTATCTTTTACTCGCTTCTTCCATTTTGGGTCATGGGGTCCCTTGTCTCCAGTTATTCTATCACACCACACATTCTTATTTACAATACCTCCCTTCGAACCTGGATACTGGTCCATAACATTCCCACCTAAGGCCCCTAGCCCTAAGTAAAGGGTAACACAAGCCCTTCAAATTAGGCAACATCTTACCATTACCTGTTAAAGTCTACTTTTTTTCTACTTCTACTAGTTTGACTGTTAGCAAAATATCTCATGAACAACTAAGAATGTTTTTTTCAGTCTGAAACTCTTCGTTACACTGTATAAACATCTAGAACTGAGTCACTTTGGGAGTCAGTCCATTTTATAATGGCCACCACAGCTCAACAACTTTAGCAAGTTACAATGTCTCTAACTCGATCAGTGGAGTGTGGTTGTCCTTGACAGTCATAGAGAGTCCATACTCCAAGTGCTAACAAAATTTGTGATATTTTACAATATTGCATGACAAAATGTTGTTTTCCAGATGAAAAGTTGGCTGGTTATATGCATTATTTAACAATGTGCAAGTACTTAAGCTTGTTTTGTGAATGCCATAAATTTAGCACAGGTAAACCACAGGTATCCTGATGCATGCTCAATAATCCAGGTAGAAAAATCCAAAAAAGTTCAATCTGGTCCTCAGGACATTAAAAAAAAAAAAAAAAAAAAAAAAAAAAAATCTAGAAACGTTTCGTCTCTCATCCAAGAGACTTCCTCAGTCTGAGGTGCTGTATTCAGCTCAGTCTCTTACATAGCACCTTCTCAGAGTGGATCAACCAGTTTGCTGCTGACAACCAAAACCAGCTGATCACATGCTCAAGAAGGACCATCAGCCTAACAATGGATCATTAGCACACTGATGGCTGTTTACTATTCACAGAGGGCTGAGTGATACTAGCAATCACAGCATTGTAAGAGGGGGGCAGTTGAACCCGGAGGCCTCCACCCCTGTTTAATGATGGACGATTTCTTTTCACAAAGATGGCCTCCTTTACTCCTCTCTCAAACCATCGTTCCTCTCT